GCATTTCCCCACTCCAAACATGATCTATTGGTCGAGAATGGAAGATTTACTGGCTCAAGATTTGAAAACAACATTGGTCCAGTCATTGGCTGATCAGTGAATTGCACAGAAACCCCTAGGAAGTCAAGCTTAAAAATAAAAGGAATAATGAAAAACAAATAGAAGCAGTAATATTGGTGACTGCATACCATGGGTGTGACAGATTTATCCTAAGCAAGTTACCAAATAAACAATTTAACAACAACACTACAGTACTTAGTGGGTAAATAAGAATCCAGAATTCCTATATTATTTTAAATGTCCAGTTTTTACCAAAAAAGTAATAACATATATAAAGTAATAGGTAAAGGTGACCTATACTCAGAAAAAAAGTCAATAGGAACTCTCTGAGTATTCTCAGATTTTGTATTTAGCAGACTAATACTAAAAAATCAACAACGACTATGTAAATGTGTTTAAATAACTAAAGGAAAAAAGTTTAAAGAATTTATATGATGCATGACAATAATGAATCAACAAATAGAAAATCTCGAGATATAAAATAAGTTTTTAAATGTAAATTATTGAATTTAAAGTTCAATAACTGAAATGAAAAATTTACAACAGGGGCTCGATGGGAGATTTGATATGGCAGAAGAAAGAATCAGTGAATTTGAAATGAGAGCTGTAGAAATGATCCAATCTGAAGAACCTAGAGAAATTCAGAACAAAACAATTGAAGAAAAAAGGACAGCCTCTGAGAGACCTGTAAAGCAACATTAAGCATGCCGATATGCATGTATTACAAGTCCTATAAGGAGACAAAAGAGAAAAAGGGATAGAAAAATTACTTGAAAAATTAGTGGCTGAAAAGTGCCCAAATTTAATGAAAAAATATTATTTTCCACATATAGCAAGCTCAAAAAAAATCCCAAAAGGATAAATAAAAAGAAATCTATAGTTCAACACATTAGAGTAAAACTATTAAAAAGGAAGAGCAAATCTTGAAAGCAATAAGAGAAAAATGATTCATCACATAGAGGAGACCATCAATACGATTAACAGCTGACTTCTCATCTGAAACAATGGAGGCTAAAGTGGAAGGACATATTTAAAGGGTAAAAAACCCCAAAACTGTTACCCAAGAATTCTATATCCATATAGCTATCCTTCAAAAATAACGGTGAAAATAGACATTTCCAGATAAATAAAGATGGAGAGAATGCCTTGATGGCAGATCTGCCCCATAAGAAACACTAAAGGAAGTTCTCCAGGGTAAAGGAAACGAAGCCTGGTAGTAAGAAATGAAGTCCACAGGGAGAAAGGCAGCAACAGGAAATGATAAATATGTGGTTATTTATCTGTAAATAAGTCATGCATCACTTGGTTATGGGATACAGTCTGAAAAAAGTGTCCTTACACTATTTTGTTATTGTGCAAACATCCTAATGCGCACTCACAAAAACCCAGCTGGTCCAACCTATTGCACACCTGTGCTCTATGGCATAGCCTACTGTTTCTAGACTGCAAACCTGTGCTGCATGTTACTGTAACACAATGGTAATTTCTTATGTATCTAGACATAGGAAAAGTACTGTAAAAATATACTACACAAGGTTTAAAAAAGGTATACCTGTGGTAGGACACTTATCATGAGTGGGCTTCCAGCACTGGAAAGTCCTGTGAGTCACTTAGTGAGTAGCGAGTGAATGTGGAGGCCTGGGACAGTACTATACACTCCCGCAGACTTTATGAACACTGCACGCCAGTATCATCCCAACCATGTAAGTAATGCAGTGCAATACGATGTTATGATGGCTATGGTGTCACTAGGTGATAGTTTTCCACCTTATTAAAATCTTATGTGACCACTGTTGTATAAGTCAATTATTGTAACAGTAGTTTTGGAGTTTATAATGTGTGGATGTGATATATATATATGACAGTAATAACACAAAGGAGGAGGAAGGAAATAAAATTACCTTGGAGCAAAGTTTCTGTTTTTACTGGAATGAAGTATTCATCTGAAATAGATTAAGATCAAAATGCATATTGTAATCCCTAGAGCAGGGGTGGGGAATGTCCAGCCAAAGAGCCATTGAAGGCCTGGGAAATCATTTGGTCTGACCCTGCCAAGGCATTAGGGGTGAGTTAATTAAATGTGTGACCAAATATAGCTGGCTAATTTTTAACTTGATAATTTTGTATGGTCCACAAATGATGTTATAAATATCCAAATGGCCTTTGGCAGAGAGAGGTCCCCACCCCTGCTCTAGAGGAAACACTAATTAATAACAAAAATAAGAGTAAAAAAAATCAGTGAAAATTAAATGGTATACAGGAAAGTAATACAAAGAAGATAGTAAAGAAGGAACAGAGAAGCAAAAATAAAAGTGACATATAGAAAACAAATTATAAAATGGTAAAGTTAAATTCATATCAATAATCATAGTAAATGTGGATGGTCTAAATACTCTAATCAAAAGGCAAAAATTATCTTCATGAAATAGCATGATTCAATTATTGCTGTCTAAGAGACTGTAGATTCACTGACAGAAAACCATTGAAAGGAAAAGGATGAAAAAAGATATGTCATGTAACATTAACTGTAAGACATCTGTAACTATCTATACTAATAAAAGGGTAATATGCTAATTAGACCAGACATCTTCCAGATGACCTTCTAGATGTCCTTTCAGTCAAAGCCACAGTGGCAGGGGCTGAGTCAGAGGTGGTTAGGGGCAATCAGGCCAGCAGGGGAGGGCAGTTAGGGGTGATCAGGCTGGCAGGCAGAGGTGGTAAGGGGTGTCAGGCAGGCAGGCAGGCGAGCGGTTAGGAGCCAGCGGTCCCAGATTGCGAGAGGGATGTTCGACTGCTGGTTATCCCCTGAGGGGTCCTGGATTGGAGAGGGTGCAGGCCGGGCTGAGGATGCCCCCCTCCCGTGCATGAATTTTGTGCACCGGGCCTCTAGTGTAAATATAAAATAAAATAGACATTAGGAAAAGAAACAAAGAGAATTATTTCACAATGGAAAAAGGGTGAATGCATCAGGAAACTTATAATAATTATAAATATATACAGACTTTACAAGACAGCTTCAAAATACATGAAGAGTTGGAGATTCCAATATTCTAATCTCAATAATTGATAGAGCAGCTAAGGAGAATATCAGCAATGATATAGAAAGCTTGGATAAGAGTACTGACCAATTCTACCTAATTGATATGTATAGGACACTCCTCACCATGACTGTAGAATATACATTATTTTCATGTACACATGGACCATTCTTCAGGATAGACCATACGCTGGACCATACAACTGTAAATCCACTGGTAAGTGGATAAACAAAATGCACACCCATACGACGGAGTCTTATTCAGCTAAAATGGAACAGACTGCTGACACAAACGAGAACATGAATGAACCTCAGAAACCAAGTGAAGGGAGCCCGATGCAAAAGACTTCCTAGCAGATGATTTCACTTACACACAGTGTAAGGGAGAGGGAGAGAGAGGGAGAGAAAGGGAGAGAGAGGGAGAGAGAGGTAAAGAGAGAGGGAGGGAGAAGAGACAGAAGGGCTGACCCAGACCAAGGATGGGCGGGAAGCCACCTCCCCATGCTGACTGACCCCTTTTCTTCCCAGTGGCGTGGCGGGGCCTTTTTGACAAAGCTGCCCGCTGTCTGCGATGCATGTCACCATGTGGGCGACCCCTAAAGCTATTACTCTAAGTCAAGGAAGCAGTCAAGAGAAGACTCATGTCACATGAGTCTGTTTACGTGAGCTACCAGCACAGGTAAGTCCGCAGAGAGAGAGACCTGCAGGGGCCATGGGGGAGCGAGGGGAGGGGGTTTCTTTGGGTGATGAAAACATCTGGAGCTGGAGAGAAGTGGTGGGCCACAGACACTGTGCATGTAATTACATGGAATTAACGCGTCACTTAAAAATGGTTAATTTTATGTGAATTTCACTGTAATAAATTACTCCGAGTAAATGCTTAAGAAGTCAGGTATGCATGCAGTATCTCATTTGTCTTTCTTAAATGATTTGCATCTGCACCCTGAAGCCAGGAGACATGAAAACCTGGTGGCTGGAACCTTCCACCAAAGCAAGTGAGTTTTCCCTTCAAGTCTGATGATGCTAGAATGTGGAGATTTTACAGACCCACACGCATTAGGACGGAAAAGAGTTCAAGGCCAGACTCAGCTGCTCCCCACCTATTGCAGAAGGGAAGTCCAGAGCCGTCAAACACCCTGCAGTGCCCGCCC